TATATAACATTAAAACTATCCAATGCTAGATACAGGTAAGAAAACTGTGATGCTACGGTAACTACTGCTCACGTTTCAATAAGATTATTTCATAAAGATAATGGCATAGAAATGAACTACATATAGAAACAGAACAATTCACGAGTCATGAAGACCAATCATGAGTAATTATTCTTCATAAACAAAAAGCCGTCAAATTGACTGCTCTGGGAGTTCTACTGTTACAGTATACTATTCCATGTTTTGGCAGAACTGTCGCATTACTTGGGTTTTTTGAACAATGCAATTTTAACAGTCTGTGTCTTCATATGTATGCCAGCATAGTTTTATTATCACTTTTACAATTATATTCAAACATATCTGTGTTATTCTGTGGTTATCTGTATATTTATTTTTTAGGTACATTTGTTCTTAATGGGAGATATGTTTCTGATTAAGGGTCCACCATTATCTTGTCTCATAAAATGCTATTGCCCTGAATATTTGATAGAATTGAATACACTCGTTCATTTCAATTATAGTTTGATTGCCACACATTTTGTAATTGCGTGTCGTTTCTGTGGATAGGAATTTACTCAGTTTGTCGACATTGCAGGACCACTGAACATCTACACTGATAATAGAATGTAGTTTTTGTTTTTAATATAAATAATTAGTGTATCTTTAGAATCCACTTTCAATGCCTCTGGAGATAAGACACCAGCGCAGCAGACTGAGCCAAGTGTGTGGGTTTGTCATTAGTGCATAAAAACCAGTCTAGACCCGTATTTAGCGCTGCCCTTTCTGATTAGCGTTGTTGTCGCGCAGGCTCACTCGTGCTTTGGAGCTCGGAGACACGCCGAAAAGTGACTCCCCAATTTAGTCCTGACGCATTAGCCAAACGGCGCTGACGGAGTTTGCTTCAGCGGCTCCCAACTGATCAGTGTGGACAGTGTGGTTCGGAAGCACACAGCTCTGCCAACTCACACACCGCCCAAAATAAACTGACCGTCAAGTGCTAACATCACTTTGGATCTCAAAATATATCTTTATTCATTAGATGTCTTATTGTTGGCTTGAAATACGATGGATTAAATATGTTTTTTCGTCACCACTTTTGACAAGTAGTAAAGAAACTTGATTCAACAAATCTAATGTGCCACTCTAGAGTTTGATTGTGCTTTAACCATTGGCTTGGAGAATTATGATTAAGATTAATAGATCCTTTATTTGTCCCACAGCAGGGAAATTTCAGTGTTGCATCAAAAGTTACAGAACAGTATGAGCATCACACAGCACACAATAAGTGAACAATAGCTATACTAATTAAAATAAAAACAAAATCTCTAACTCTTATCCAAGAACACGTATAAAATCTCTATCTTGAACATAATAATAATAAAGAAGTTTTACATTTGGCTAAATAAGAGGCAAGTACAAAGTACTATGTATTCTAGTGCAAGCAGTTAGATGTTAGCATCTGTACATGTTAGCATCCCACATCGCCATTGTTTTTAGAGGGATGGGTTTTGCTGGTTTAAGATTTTTGAACTTGTCTTCCATATTTAAGTCGCCGTTGCGCCACCTGTGCCACTTTATACAGCCAAAAATTATTGCTCTGTGGAAGAAAAGTTTTTGTTTGGGACTGGGCATACTTAAAGAAAACACCTCTCTGATTGTAGCCTAAAGCAGCCTACCAGATTTCTATTCTACTCTACTCTACTCTACTCTACTCGGCTCTGCTCTGCTCTACGTGGTTGCGTTTTCAATACACTTTAGCATCCGGTACTGTATCTGAGAAACCTACCCATAATATCCAGTATCCATGGAGATTCCTCAGTATCCATAGCTTCCAGCAGCTCTCTAGCCAATTACTGGCAGTTAAGATACTTTAGTACCAGGGCCAAGTAGGTATTAAAAAAGAACCTGGTACCAGTCAAACAGGGCCGGTGGAATGGCAGAGTAGAGTCGAGTGGGGCCAAGTAGGGCTGTTGGAAATGGGGCTTCTTTTGCATCTGTTGTCCCACTGTCACACCCGTAAACAGACTCTGAAGGGGCGTTCACACCGGACTTAACTTCGGCGTCAAAAGCGTCAGGTTTCCATTGAAAGTGAATGGTGAAGCGCGTCAGGTGAAGCCGAGAGCCCCGGCGTCACTTGACGCGCGTCAAAAGCTTCAAGAGTCGCGCGTAATACGCGCTCACTTGAAGCTTTTGACGCGCGAAACGCTAGCGTATCACAACAATCCCTTTGACGCCAAAGTTGAGCAAAGCTGAGCTTTTGAAGCTTTGACGCGGGCTTCAACCAATCAGGAGACGAGGAGCAGCAGCAGCAGAGGGTCTGTCTCTGTCATGGAGAGAAGTCATGTATCTGCTGCTGCTGTTTTATTGTCATTATTGTTATTAGTAATATTATTTGTATGAGTAGTAACGTTCTGAGTAACAAAATCATTGTACACATGCTGTGTAGTAAACGTAGTTTATTTAAAATAAGAACAGGCTGACGATGAGTCTGGCTCAGAGCAAGGCAGCTCCGGGCGGGCGAGAGCCGGGGAGAGGCAGGGAGAGGCGGGGAGAGGCGAGCGAGAACCGAGGAGAGGCAGGGAGAGGCAGGGAGAGGCGAGAGCCGGGGTTTGAGAACTCAGACTGGGCAAGTGACATGCGGAAGTACCGCTGAAAGCGAAACTCCTCCGTACGCAGCTCCTGGAGTAAATGACGGAACTCTGCAAACACTGCAGCCTCTCAAGTCTGTGGTGAACCCAGAACATGTTTTGTTGAAGCCCTACAACAACGTTATTTTGCTTTATATAACAAATAAAGGCTCGCTGCTCATTGAAAAATCCACCGCTGTCCTGACTACAGACAACAGAGAAGCTCCTCCCACAGACAACAGAGAAGCTCCTCCCACAGACAACAGAGAAGCTCCTCCCACAGACAACAGAGAAGCTCCTCCCACAGACAACAGAGAAGCTCCTCCCACCGGCGTCAGGCGCGTCACTCGCGTCAAAAGCTTCAAGCACCAAAATGACAAAACTATCCCGGCGTCAGTTGAAGCGCGTCAAAAGCTTTTTGAAGCTTTTGGTCTGAACGCGCCTTTATTCAGTCTGAACTTTTGCACATGTTTGAGAACCAGTTTGAATAAAATAAACATTGGCTTTGAGAGTGTGTTGTTGAGAGTTAAATAAATTGGTGATTATTAGTAACACACTATAGCAGGGTTTTTGTGTGAACGGTATTAATGAGATGTGAAGTTCTCCACAGTGACCTTTGTGCTAATGCCAAAAGTGTCACATAATGTTAGCCTTAATTAATGGATTACAAAAAAATAGTGTTGCTTTTGCCCTTTTGTGAAACTTTCCATTACACTCACTACTTAACAATATAATAAATGTATGGATTTTAGTTTGATCAATGTTTCCTGAAGTGATTTGAGTCAATCATGCCAGGTAAATTAGGGTCAGGGTTAGAATATGCTTAGGATATGCTATAGAATATATATATATTTTCTCTAAAAGTTTTTTGATGCCGTTGAGAATTGTTTTATTTTTACCACACTTGCAGCTTGGGCAGCAATTGTTAATTTTCTTTCACTCCTTTCACAGTAAGCTAACGAGATCTGTTAGTGTAAGACCGTTGAGCGGTCGCCAAGCTAATGTTGTAAAATATTCATGAGCTCAAAAAGTCAATTCAACATAATGTGTCCTTTTAAAGCTGATATTACTTTTTGTTATTAGTATTTGATTTGTCATTCAATGTTTTTAGTGTTAAATCATGGTGTATGTTGAAATATGGATAAACAGGTATGATTTTATTTTTTTGTAATTACTTACTTTTCCCTCTCAATAAAACATTATATCCTGCATATACCTTTATGAGTCTAATATGCAGGAAAAAGTTTAATTTTAAAAAGCAGAAAACAGCTCTGAACAGTCATCGCAGTGTGCAGCGTACCAAGTTTCCGTACATGGTTTAAACATCTCTTCTTTTTGAGGAGGGAGCAGTATTATATCAAGGTTAAAGGCTCAGTTTGGGCATAAATGATGTCCTTTAGAGTATATTCTCTGTGTCTATTTACTTTTGGTTATCTACACCAGCATTCAAATCGTTCAGCTCACCTCATTCAGGACACCTTCCTGCTAAAACAGCCATCATTCCAATTCGGTGAACACTGCCCCTTTGTCCATTCTTGATCATAATAACACAATGTCATTAGCGCCATACCTTTCCTTTGCCCAAAAGTGTGTAAAACTTTTTCCCTAATGAAAGTTCAGCGTTTAAAGCTGTGCGGCAGGGGTGTCAAACTGGTCTACAAAGGGCAAGTGTGGGTGTAGGTTTTCATTCCAACCAAGCAGGAGCACATCAGACTCCAACTATTTTAACCTGGAGACATGAGAAAATGGGTCGGGTCTGATGTGACTGGTTGGAAAAAAAAACCTTCAGCCACACTGGTTCTTTCTGGAACCCGTTTGACACCCCTGATGTATGGAGTCCTCTACTCGTATACAACACTGTACTCTCTATAAATCTTGGCATTTCATACGGCCCAGGTTTACTGTTCATGCCTACATCACATGTAAACATAAACATTCAACGTTTCTAGTTGACAGTGCTACTCATACAAAGTGAACCCCACACAATCCAGATGACTTGTATTTGTTGTCTAAACTCATGAGATTTGATTTAATACCATTCAGTGTTTATAATAAAGCAATTACAGAGAACCAAGCCGGAGGAGAAGGCGAGGATTGACTTTTTATAACTCATAATAAATGCCGCTTGAGGGGAGTTTTCTCAGCTCCAACTAATAAACCAGGCTTTCATTTTGCATCAGACTAAACTAACAGGTTTATTGGGAGGAGATTCACACTTGCACAGAAATGAACTCAACAGACTGAAATATGGGAAATACTATGCTTGTCCTGAATAGTCAATGGTAATAATGTGACTAAAGTTTGGCTCTATCTAATAAATAAATAATGGCAAAATTTGACACACCACAAACTTTGTCTTTACGTCTTTTCCAGAAGAGTTCCAAAACTTTGTGCGTAAGCTGCCGACTTTCAACGCCCTCAACACCTCAGCCATCCAGTTCTTCTGGAAGTCGGATGCGGCCGTTCACCAGAGATACCGGCAGCTGGAGGCCAACGCCCAGCAGCTTTTGAGCAAGTCACGTCGCATCGTCCAGAAACTGTTCACCCTGAGCAAGCGCTGCCGCAGCCAGCCTCACATCGTCATGCTGAGGGAAAGGTGAGAAGCAGCTCTACACCGAGCCCACGTCACAAAACATAGACAATAGGAGGATTTGGAAAACAAATAAATACATGTACACACTACATGCTGCATCTTCAAAGCTAACAAAATCGTTGTAAATACTATAAAATGAAATAAAAAAAAATAAAAAAACTTTTCTTCCCTCCCAAGTGAAAGGCTCTGAAATCAGATGTACAATTTTAGAATTGCCCAAAACTTAGTTACTTTACAATGTTGCCTATTCACTTTCATGACTCAGGGCTAAGAATATTTGTACCTAGGGGCTGCAATTGGCTCCCTGGCCATAGTTGGAAACTGTGGGTTTACATGGAAGAAGAGAGAATCTGATAATTGAGTAAAATACATGTAAACGTTGTGCTTAGACAAAGTTACAAAATGCCTTTGACAGTGTTACAAAGCAGGCCTTGCTCATACAGATAATCTTAGTGCTCAGAACGGGATGAGTCTGGGTGTGTAGCATAGTGTCTGCCCTGATGAAGACCTCAGTGGTTGAAACGTGTCGGTGTCCTGAGCAAATAAAAGTATTTTTACTTCAAAGTCAGCTGTGCCTCAGACCCTGCCCACAGCACCGCTCACTCTCCCTCTCCACTGGGTGCCATAGTCTGTTCTTACTTTGTAAACTTATATTGTTGTTGTAATTTCCTACTATAACATAAGACGCTACTTTTTTCTTGTTCTCTTAACCCTTATGAAGTGATGTTGCCAATATGTGTTTTTTTAGCTTGGTAGAGTTGGGCTTTTTTCAGAGCAGAGTTTGTGGAATTATTAATCTGACACCATCAAGTTTTAGTAGCTATAGAACACTGGTTTGTTGTCATAGGTTTTTCTTAAAGTGCTTATATACAAGTGCACCGTATTGTCCAGATCGTCGGGTAATTTGGTTTATAATTTTTTAAGAGCACCGAGCATCTTTTACTCTCCGTAAGCTAAACAGAGCTTGCACATTTCAGCTTCCTGTTGTTGATTACTGTATAAATATGTGCAGACACCTTTATCCACCGCAAAGGTGAGAAGCTGCTGAAGCGCCTTGGCCTTAGCTCAGAGACATTGAGCAGGTGTTGAGATGGGGGGCTAACAGGGCCGCGCTAACACACAAGCTCCATGAAGCGCAGTGTGAAAAGTGTTCTACATGTTCTCATCGTAAATCACACAAAAGGAGGTGTTTGGACATTTTGGCACCTTTAAACTCTGCACGTCTTTTCACTGGAAGAGGACATACAGACTTTTTGTAGCTTTAATCATCTTAAAAATTGTATCCGTTCTCATTTGCAATCTGATTTTTTTATATTACTGCAAGAGTCAACAAAACCGGATTGGATCAAACATTCAAGCCGCTTACAACACGTGCATGAAAAGAGAAGGAATCACTTCAAATTCCGCCGCTGACACCGGGCACATGAAAAATACAGTCTTCCAACCATTATGCTAATGTTACACACTACTGCTTTATATTCCCCTGAAGGTCTAGGAGAGGTGAGCCCACGCACCCACACCTGAAGACTTCTCTCGTCACGAACACAGCTCTTCAAGTACAATCAGAACTAGCCTAGTGTGAAATTAAACTTTTCTATGTTTTAAAGAAACAGCCTGCGCTCTGGGAGTTTAACTAGGCCCGCATCTAATGGCAAATATCCGCTCAATCTCGTCTGTGTTTTGATAGGAAATTGTTGCTTGGATTGCACGCAAGAGATTTTCAGCTTAAAGAGCAGTAATATGATTATCGGTGGAACAGACGATCCAACCCATGCAAGCTTAACGGCTATTTTGGGTTAAAGAAGGCAAGTATTATTAATTAAAATTGCGTCGATTGCCAAGACGGGGTGTCAAATTGAATAAATTTTATATTTTGTGTCAGAGTATGTCTGCTACTTTTGACTCAATGAATCACAAAATTAGATGTTCTCTACTTGACCTGGCAATGTGCATCCAAAACGCTTCAGTGACAGATTCATTTCATTTAGCATAAAGCCCACTGAAAAATCATACAATTAATAAGCACTTAATTTGGCCGGTAATATATGCCCTGAAGTAACCCTTTATATTAGCTTCGAAGCGCTCGCTGAGTAATCTTGAGGGTTTTTTAAGCTCGTTGCCTTAATGCCTTAATTAACTAAAAAAAAGAACGAAAACGACTTTAAGAGTTGATAAGATAAGATAAACTTAAAACGCACAATATGAAACAGATGCGGGGCGGTGCGGTGGCTGAGTGGATAGAATTCTCGCCACTCAGCAAGAAGGTTTTCCTCATTTGGAAAACTACCACATTCAGACCTCACCATTTATTTTAAGCACTAGTGTTAACATTTTTCCGTCCACATGATGGCCTAGTGGAGCAAATGAATCGCCTTGACGCTTTGAACCATGTATCGAGAGAGAGACTACGATGCCTCACTGCCTCATAGGGCTTCATATTACTATAAATACTTCCATTTTCTCACCAAACTTTAATTTAGTTTGGCTCCTATTGCCAAATGACTGAATAACATCTGAATTGGATGATATGAAAACGTCTGCTAACGTTATTTGCCATTTTACTGCAAATGACAAATAAATTATTGTATCTTGCTGTGAACTTGCCATAAAATACCCCTGTATCTTTAGAGGAACTATGAATGTTTATGCCAGCTGCTGCTCAAAGAGACACAGATTGTTGATGACACCTTGCCCTTGTCGGCCCACAGGTCAAGCAATGGCATGCTGCTCGTCCAAAGAGATCTCATTATCCATCCTACCAATATCGCTAATTCAACTCGAAAACCCTGACAAGCGTTGACCCTTTGATACTCCATACTCTTCCTCTTTTCAAAACAAAAGAAGAAAGCTGGCGCCTTTTCTAAACAAAAATAATTAATAGTTGCACGAACAAAACAACATTATTAAATAAACACACTGAAGAAAAGTTTGTTTGTTTTACAACTTCATGGCCTGAAAACACCATATCTTCTCATCATCTACTCCACTTACAAGTCTGCCCATGTATGATTCAAATGTGTCCCTATTTGTTCAACTCCAAACATGGCTTTTATCTATTAGTTATAACTCCCTCGTCTCCTGATATTACTTCTTTTGTTGCAACCCAGTTTGTATTTTTTCACATTTTTTCAATCTCGGCACGGCCTTGTGTATTCCGAGTGTCACCGAGTTTGACAGATGAAGCCTTTTGCGACTTTGAGGAGAAAACGCATTATGGAGGCAGCTATTGATATTGTTAGTATGATTATTCATTATGTCAGAGTGGGTGCAAACCTAAAGAAGGAGAGGGATATTGTAGATGCAGAACAGTTCATTTTCAGAAAGAGATTGTTTTTGCAGTGTAGTTACACAGACCTTTCAATGGTACACAGAAATGAAAAACAGCTTGGTTCCAAAATAATAATAATATTATTTAATATTAGCCAGGTTAGAAAATAAAAGTTGATACACAACACATGTTTTCCATTTGCCACATTAACTCAGATGAATGCCTTGAGGACACAGTGCCCACTTGGCAAAAGGGTCCTGGGTCAGATTCCACCTCCAGACAAGGCATTTCTGAGTGGAGTTTGCATATTCTCCCCAAGTCTGTATATGTTTCCTTCAGCTCCAGTTTCCCCTTTCACAAATGTCAGATGGCTTTTCATAAACTCATTACTTTCTGTGACTGCCCTTGCTTCTCCGCAACTGTGACCTGTAATTAGACATCTTAGTGGATGCTTGTCTCTATAAATTAGTAAAAGTAACAATACATGTTTAATACAATTATAATACATTTATAAAAGCAAAATGCTTCCTTATTTTGGACCGATTGACAACTTAACCAGTCAAGCTGAAATATCTCTAACATGCTCCTTCGTTGACATTGCTACCAGCCAGGACACATTTACATTTTGCATATTCATTTTAGCTTGGAGCAATAGCAGAGGATGTGTTTGCATAAATACTTTTTACTCATTTTACAGTGTGATTATCTTTTGGTAAGCCAGTTCATTCACTGTACCCGGTTCGCATCACTGGAGCAAAAACCACACTAATCTCTAACGTAAGCTGTCATAAAGCTTACATATAAAGTCATTATTGTAAATACCAGAAATGTATGCAAGTTGTTCAGCTCCATTCATCCGGCAATGATGCATGCAACTGTTCGGCGAATAAGAAAATGAAAACCTGGGGCAATCAGCTGTCAATCCCAAATCATGATTGCTACCTTGGAAATAGCATGTTAATAATTCACCATTGTGCTTTGATTCAACAATTTTGGGGTTACTGGTTTTTCATGTAATGGAGATTCTGAACTACAAAGTTTGTCTGATTATAACAAAGTAAAGTTGTTGTATGAGGTGGGAGCACGCTATCTGGTTCAGTCCTGGTTTAGATAGCTACTGTTGTGATTATAGAGCTATACAAGAATACATTGAATTGAATCTTTTTTAGTTGTGTTAACAATAACTTCTGTTCAGATGATGGAGACTGTGTGTTGCCCTGTCTCTGCGCACATGTACACTCCTGTTGTGTTTTCTGTGTCAATCTACTCTCTGTATATCAGTTTGTCCTCATAGTTTTTGTTACTTATACTGTACGTTGTCCTCCATAGTAGCTCCTCTGCTCCTATGGTTTGAACATAGCATCTGAATCCAGCAAAAAATACCTCCTTGTTCTTCTTTACGGTTTAAAATAGACCTTTCGTGGGACGGGCAGATTCAGATTTTGGTCACGTGAGTTTTAACAGCTTTTAAGAGGATTTTAATGTAAATTACCATCCATTGTTATCCCACAAAAGCCAATAGAAAGTAAAAGGACACAGGGCAATTAGGGATAAGGATGGGATTAGGTATATTTTGTTGCCCTGGTCTGAACCGGAACCATCCAACTAAACCTCCATATCACGTCCGTCGGTCGTGACCTTTTATTCACGTCAAAACGACGTCTGTGTAAGGTGCGCATCTTGACGTAAAACAATGACTTCCAATAGATGTTGATATGACTGCTGTGAGGAGCAGCAGTAGTAGAACTGCTGCTAGTAAGTGATTCTGCAGAGGTTAAGTGGGTTAATAGGACTGTAAATGGACGTCATATAAACGTCAATATTCTGGTCATATAAGTCGTTGATAGGATGTCGGACCATTTACGTCAAATTTGAACGTCCAGATGACGATGAAATTACGTTGTTTTGACATAGGCTTGCTTAGTGGGAATGACTGAAAACGAACGTCATATAAACGTCAATATTTTGGTCATATAAGACGTCAATAGGACGTCGGACCCGACCGGTTGTGTACCACATTTCAACCTTGAATTGACGTGCAATCAACATCACATTTGGAGGTTGAGGTGACAGCAGCAAAAGACGTCCGGATGACATCGGGAAAAGACGTAGAGAAAACTTTCATTCTGCACCCACCAGTGACCTATAATCTACGTCGGGCAACGACGTTGAAATGACGTTGTTTCAACATTGGCTTGCTTAGTGGATTAGAACAGGTCTTGAGGATCAGGTCGGGTCTTTTTAAACTGCACGGACAATGATGCTTACAAAAAGGTCTCTGGATCTACGTACATATGTGTATGGATTTTGGTTCAATATTACCAACCACTAAAGTGGAATATAAAAACACAAAATAGACCAAAGCCTTTTAAACTTTTCGTGATTTAGTTGGCTAGGCTCATGTTTTTTGTGAAATGAACTGAATAGACTAAAGGTGAAAAGGATTTTTTTTTTTTTTTTTTTATCATTATAGAGTGACAATTATCAGAATAGAAGTTGAAGATTCATGAGTTTTGTCATAATGTGTAATAGATTATGTGAGCCACTGTTCTTCAAGGTCTCAAAGCAATCCATTTAGAATTAATAATATTATTATTATTTTAGGCCCGGGAACATAATATTGATTCCGGGCCAAAGAGTCCGGTTCTGGATCTTGACTTCACAGTTGCTGTATATTTCCATATACATTGAATGCTTGTATTTAGAAATTCAAATAATTGCCATTGTTACAAGTTAAACTGCTTTAGTGACAGCTAACAGCGGTGCTATACACTGAATTAACTGAAATCAGTGCGGATTGGGGCTCTTTTGTTAGCACTCTGAAGAGCTGGAAAAAAATCCTATAATAAAACAAAACAAGGATGTAAAATCGGTAAGAGCTCAAAACATTAATTTTAACCAAACAACTCTTTCCAAGTGAATGAGTTTTGACTGCTTTTGTGTTTGCTTTTCATTACTCTAAGACCACTGAACCTCCATCAATATTTGCTCATGGCAATAAACAGAATGATGCATGTTGAGTTGACAGACGTTGAGCTGAGACAGATTGTGGACCTATTTTTGGAGCTCGTCCTCATCACACTCCTTCATGGATCCAATCCTCTCTCTTCACCCAATTTCTTATATCCTGCTGACAGAGGAGGCGTTTCCTTTCTGCTCTTCCAGAACCACCTCCGCACAACCAAGGAACCACCACATTTAAAACTAATTTCATATTTCACCAGAGGTTTCTCCCTGCATGGAATGAATAGTTAAAATGTAGCCTTTCACTTGTCTTAAGTGTACACACTATTTGACGTTCCAAGTACCTGGTCTTAAACATGAATTACAGTACTACAGTCTGAAAAGAGACAAGAATACATGGCAGCCACAAGATTATACAATAAAATTCAGCAGACGTATAATGCACTACTACATTCATTGTATTTTAAGATACAATTTTATTAAGATGTGGCGATTAGACCCCGGGTGCATACAGTAATCCAAATGAATATAACCTGCTTTGTGATGCTGTCAAAGACATCCTGTAACTTTGTCTTAGCACTTAGGGCAGCACGGTGGCGCAACTACTAAAACACTCCAATATGTGTCAAATGCCCACAACAATTGTGAATATCTTTGTGACTCCCAATGAAAGGCATTATATAATTAAAGTGACTTACTAAACTCTGCTGGAGAAGGAACCTCAGCTGATTAAATGACAATTCACTGAAGAGGCAGCGATGAGGAGGAGGTGGGTCGCTGCAGAAACAACAGGGTCAGTTTAAATACAGCTGTAAAGTTATTCTGATGAGCACAGGTGTGTGACTGTGCAGCTGAAGCCGAGTGTGAGGAGATCTCAGGCGCAGGTGTGTGGCAAGAAGTCTTCCTGTCTGAAATACCACTTTAGCTACATTTCTGTTTTAGTCCAACATGAAAAGTAACCCCAAGATGGTAAGGGCTAAATGGAATAAAATAAATCTATATTCAGCAAAACATTAACCACCAAGAAATGTAAACAGTACCGTTTGAGAATATGTCATAGACCCATCAAAGCGTCCTTGTTTTTTCTCGATGTGCAGTTAATACAATTGTAACCCCTGAGTGTTTGAGATGTAGATTTCATGTTAAAACATTGTATTAACTATATTACAATGGAAGCCTCTTTGACATTATACTTCTCATTTGCTACGTGTTATATCAACATTCCAGACATTTCATTGAAAAGCCCTATTGACATCGCACCTTCTTAAAATTCTGCATAAATGTTTCCAAAATAACACCAACATAGTCAGACGATTGTTCTGTGACTTTCCTACATTCCCTCTTTTCATCTAATTTTCTCCCATCTGCTGAGATATCCACAGCACGCAACACCCACGGCGCTCTCTGCTTCTTATTTACTGCAAAACAAATGTTCGGACAAATGTTATTTTTGCCTCGGAAAATATGTCAGGGAATATCAAGATTGCCTCGTTCCCTCCACAATCATTTAGCATCTGCATATGGCCACTGATTGTCGATGGGCATAAGCGGGTGAGCAGATTTCAAAGATGGCAGCTGGAGGACAAACACGGCGCATGCGGTTATTTGCGGAGGGTTCAATTCTAGACGCAAGGTCCATATGCTGATTCTCCTCCGTCTCAGGGATTTTGATTTATAGTTAAAGCAGCGTAAATGAGACAGCTAGATGCATTGCTTATTCAGTGTTTGAGAGACGAGAATATTGTGCAAAGCAGAGAAGGGAGAGGAGTTATGGTTTGACAAAGTGAACATGCAAAGCAGCATCCAAATTCACTGTTTAAAGGCGATGTATCTTTATTGATTTAAAAGACCGATGGGATTCAAAATAGGCTATTTGTCTCGTGTGAAGAGGTGTCTTATTGGTTATTCTTTTTTCTATTTTGAGTCAACTGATAGTCAACTTTATAAGGAAGAACTCAGGTACGAGGATGGCATTTATGAACCGTCCACCTCTTGCATCAACCAGAACATGAAAATCATTTTCTACAAAACATTTCTCACAAGTATCCATATTTGATTAAAATAAATAAATGCATACACGTAAAAACAAGTAGTAATTCAGTGTCGAAAAGATAGTGCCAGCATGTTCTAGGTATTGTTTAAATACTTTTAAAATGGTTTTACTTTTGTCACAAAATAGTTAAATAATATAATCAAAATTCACTTTCACAGTTATCCTATGAACTTCTTAAACAAACTCCTTTAACAAACTTCTTTTGTTTAATTTTGAGCAAAGCTTTAGAGAAAAAAAACATTGCCACAAACACTGCCACATTTGGCACACAAAAATGTACCTTCACAGTCCCACACCACTTTCTTCATTTCTCAAAAATCTTGTCAAGCAGCAGATGTCCTGTGTTTTTTTTATGTGGACAAAGTCATATTTGGGGAAAAAATGCCATTTGATGTCCTAACTCAAGTGTTTCTATCTTTGCCATGGTATAATACTGTACATCTGAACGACTGATGCATCAGTCCTGAAATAGTTTGAGGTTATTGTACCACTAAGAGAGCACACGCAGAGCTGTCTTAAAACAAAAGTACTGCCCATAAATTCTTTTTTCATAATATACAATCACAGGTCTGTGTTTGCAGTTGATAATTTTCAAATGCGAAAACAAAGCTATTTGAACTCTGTAGATAGCATAGGGCGTTGCTAAGCATTTCTTATCCATCACTCTTGTTTCACCATATATGTTCAAATTATGTCAGGTATTATTTCACATCCTTAAACATTAAATAACAAAGTCTCATTAATGGCCAAACATAATACATAATATTTCTTCATTAACATAGTTCTCTTTTCTCTTCCAGACCCTTCAGCTACTGGCTCCATTACATCCTCTCCATCATGTACTGCAGTGAGAACAACCACATTGGCTCCTACTTGGAAGAGACCAGATCCTGCTCCTGCCCTTACGAACACCCCCCCTGCCAGGGCGTCATCCCCTGCACCGTGGGCGAGGGCACCGCCTGCGCCACCTGCTCCTACGAAAACCGTTCTCGCTGCGCCTCCTGCAACCAGGGCTACATGCTCAGCCAGGGCGTGTGCCGAAACGAGGTCCCAGACTCCACCGACCACTACATCGGGTTCGAAGCGGATTTGCAGGACGCTGAAATGCGCTTCTTGCTTCAAAAACGGGACAACCGCATCGGCATTCATGGGATTTTTGTCAGCAACGACGTGCGGTTGAATAACTGGTTTGATCCCTCTTGGCGAAAGAGGATGTTACTGACTCTGAAGAGTAATAAGTACAAGTCCAATCACGTGCACATGCTTTTGGGGATGTCGTTGCAAGTTTGCCTTACCAAGAACACAACGCTCGACCCGGTCATGTCTGTCTATATAAATCCTTTTGGAGGTAGCCATTCAGAAAGCTGGATCATGCCTATAGACCAGACTCCAGATTATCCAACGTGGGAGAGAACTAAACTAGACGTGCCCCACGATTGCTACAACTGGACGCTGACCTTAGGAAACAAGTGGAAAACGTTTTTTGAGACAGTGCATTTTTACCTCCGCAGTCGCATCAAAGGACCCTCACCCAGCGGCAATGGAACAATATACTACGAACCGTTGGAGTACATCGAACCGGGTCGGAATCTCGGGTACATGAAAATCAACAGCATCCAAGTCTATGGGTATAGTATGCATTTTGACCCGGAAGCGATACAAGACTTGATTTTGCAGCTGGACTACCCGTACACTCAGGGATCTCAGGACTCCGCACTTTTGCAGCTTTTGGAAATCCGCGATCGGGTGAATCGACTCTCGCCGCCCGGAGCTCAAACTTTGGACCTGTTCTCGTGTCTTTTGCGACACAGACTGAAACTCTCCACCACAGATGTTGCGCGGATTCAGGCAGCGTTGCAGACGTTCAGTGCCAAACAGCCCAACTCGATTGAATATGAGACAACCAAATTATGTAGCTAATCAGCTGAAAAGTGTATGGACTGTAAACAGATGGTGCAGCCATTACAAAAATGCCTCGTGAGAAGGAAGGAAATGATTATGGTTTCATCGGATGGAGAATAGAGTACTAATGATATATCAAGGCACTACTGTCCCATTTTGTCAACATGGATGCTGAGGCTACTTTTTCAGTAAAACCAAAATTATAATTTTTCTATTTATTTTTTGCCTATATACAAGTAATTGGCATTTGGTATCTGAATGTATTTATGTATGTATTGCATTGAAAACATAGAGCCAACAGCTTAGTAGGGCCGGCTAGGGTTAGGGCTAGTATCATGTTCAATATGAGGCAGGGAGAAAGCAGCTACTGGAGACCCACAATTCTCACAAGGAAAACCACAAACAGAGCCTTATTTGAAGATGATAATTGTTTTATGTTCTATTGTGATAAGACACACCCACCTTCTCCCTCATTTTTACACACACACCGCTGTTAACTATAGACTCTCATTTGGGCATATACAGAACACATACAGCAGACAAGACTTCCCATTAGATTAGAGAAAAAAATGAGTAATCGATTAGAGAGAGAAAAAATGAGTAGAGCCTATATAAACCTGCACAGACACATTGTATTTGATATAGTTTTACCAAACAATAAGCATAGTTTTCACACATCTTGACTTTTTCCTATCCCTGAATTTACAAAATCAGAAGTCATCGAGGATTCTTGTTCCTTTGTGCGCATACGCTTACATTCCAGAACGACAACAACAACTTCATGAACAGTGGAAAAACTGTAGGCTGAAGCTAATATTTATACTATTGTAAAAATGAATGTATTTTATCAGAATAAAAAAAAAAAAACATGAAAAAGTATTACTCAAGAGTTCATCTGTTCAAAGTTGTTTTTAAAGTTCCTCTGTGCATCCATTTAAGAGATCCAGAGATTTTTTTTTTTTTTTATATTTTTACCAATGTGTAGAGGTACATTGAATTGAATTTCAACGAATGAGGGTTTGTTAGCAGTGCAATTTTGGGATTATTGTAATTACTATTATTATGTTTTGCAAGGTGAAAATTGGTTTGGTTTTGGTTTTGTATGTATTGCCTCAAATCTGATATAGGGCAACTTACATACCAGTTCAGGATGACACAATGGGACAGTAACTATCGGAGTAATCTAAATGTGAATGGTTTGCTGAAAAGGTATCCGAGGCATTTTATGAAAATTTCTAACATGGACCTCGAGTGCATTTGAGATTCCCATGTTAAGTTTCGTATGGATTTGTACAACATTGTAAAATTACGAAGAGTCTCACCAAACTTGCCTCATTTTTTATTTTGGTTTGTTTTATCTTGTCAATATAAAACTCACACAATTCTGGCTCACTTTGGCTTTGCAGAAAAAAGAAAAAAAACATTGTTGGCATTAGCATGTTTAAGTTTCTTTTGCTTTTGTAATCGCAGTTTTGTTCTAGACGCAGAAATGCCATTGCTAATCCAAGGCCCCTCTGACATAGGAGGATCAGGCACATTTGCTTCACAGGTAATCGCTGTCTTTTTAAATGCACATTATACATTTTTGTAATCAAGAAAAGTGCTATAATGAAGTATCGTACCACAGCTTAAGTGCAAATACAAACCATGATCAAGTTACATGTTACATGTGCTTTTATTTTTATAATCCTTTTATTTGTGAAAGAAAATGTTACAAAAAACACTGTCTATAAAATGTATAATACAGTTTGTTAATACACTAAATAAATACATTTTTATGTGTGGTCTATAAAAGTGTGTTCTTGTGTCCTGTAAATCAATCTGGAAAAGAAAGAACAATGTACGTGATCTTTGTTCAGATTTGTACTGAATGTTTAGGGCTGGGGAACCCAACTTTGAAAGCAAAAATACATAACTATGGAATGTATTTATGAAAGAAACAAAAGAGTTAGGTACTCCAGCTTTAAAACAAAGCAACCTGAAGTACAGAAAATAGTGTGTGAGTGTAGTGTTTTGCATTATTAACATCTTGAAGGCTTTTAGAAGGCTTGTTCCAAGAAGACGTGTTTTTAATCCATTGTACGATGAGAGGACACTGAATGGCATTGTAATAGCAAAAAAAAATCAGTCTTGTTTTTTTCAAGTAAAGGGGCAAGACGACCGTATGATTTTTTTTTTCTTTGACTTTTCCATGTCCAACAGTTTTTCAGTTCACTTGTGAATAGTATTTTAAAAGTTGTAAATGTCATAGTCGTTCATTCTCAGTCCTTGCTAGTTGTATAACCAAGGTGATTATGTACAAAAAGTATCCGTCTCTGGCTTCAAACGGAAAGGAATAAACCGACTACATCTTTGAAAAGCTGCTGATTCACTCCTGTTAACCTTTTATCACTCCATCGTCTGACATAGTTTTGTGTTCGACATGAACATGAGTTTTTTGGACATTAGATGTCATGATTGATTTGTTTTGATGGATGGCAGCCTGTCTCTTCTCTGTCTCCCGAGGACTCTCCCATCTTTCGCAATTTTCAGTGTGTTTTGTCTTATTTTAGTACTAATATAAAGCATGAACCTCCCCAATGCACAGGAAGTGAATGAAGGTTTTTTTTTTTTTTTTTATGAATTTGGATGCATCCCTGGCTTGGACCTGAAACTGAAAGTTTTGTGGTCAGGTTTTATAGGGTACATTGACAATGGCTATAGGCCCATGGATTTCATGAACGCTGGATAGAACCATTGATTGATACGTTCTCTGAAAAAAAACATTTACGATTGTTCTTTAATAGTTCTAGCCCTAATCCTTTCTTCAGGCAAATGGTGGAAGCATGTGGAGCACCATGATCTAGACGACAGCAAACAATGAATTTTAGCTAACCTCTTTACACCCAGTATAATATTAAACCATATGTACAGAAATTCCCCATGTATGTGTTGTATTATTGTTGCCACACAAGAATAAGTTGCATCCAACATTTGCCTGAAGTCTTTTAACACTTCGGCTCTCATACTTCTGGAACTACTGGAACTCCCACAGCAGTCATTTTGACGGCTCCCATTCACATCAATTGAACTATGAGAAAAATCCCCAAACGTTTTAGATATGTTTTACAATGTATTAATTATTACGTTTTATATTTAAAACATGCTAAAACTAGTTAATGTAAATGAAATATAGCTAAAGTAAATACTAACTGCTGCAAGTAAACAGTGTGTTGCTATGGTTACCAAAACTTGCTTCAAGCTGTGATTACTCTGAACCAGTCTAGAACCAGTCTAGAACCAGTCAAGAATCGAGATAATTTCAGGAACATAATTACATTGAAATAAACTATGCAGATACAGCGTCAAAGTTTTGGCAACCAACATTTATAAACACACTTCCATAACAAAAAGCCATCAAATTCAGGGATGTCAAAGTCAAACTCATCAGAGGCCAAAAAAACAAATTTACCACAAGCCGAAGGCCGGACTGGTTCAATGTTTATTAAAACATATTACAATTATTGCCTATAACCTATTGAACCTAACACAGTGTACCATATTCTATTTAATGATTAAATGAATAATCCAATATCTTTGTATGGTTCTGTCAGTAATTGCAAGAGAAAACATTTTTCAAAAAGCTCACAGACAAAACCAATCTTCCTTCAATGAGAAAACACATGTCTGAATATTAACAAAATAATCCAATATTTTCTCAAGGCTCTGTGAGGGCCGGTTTTAATACTAATCAAATATGATCCCGGGTGCAAAGATAGTTCAGTCGCAGGCCGGATTTGGTTCCCAGGCCTTGACTTTGACACCCATGGTCAAATTAACCACTCTAGTGTTATACCTGATTATTTTTTATTTTTTTATGAGTTTCGAAATTTAGTTGAAAACTTGATCTCATTGATTCAGCTGTGTATGAATTCAGGCCGTAAAAAGTGCTGAGTAGTGCTGAGTAGTGGTTGGCGTGATGCTAGCTCTCCTCCAACTTCAGAACGAGGAGCGAACGGGCTGCGTCCTCTAGCCTCTACAGCGCCGGTAAACACAGTAACATGTTAGCAGAATTGGCTATAACTCCTCTTGCTGTAACTGTATACACCGCAAAACAGCCCAAACAACACAACAGTGAGGAAGAGAAGAGGGAAATAAAGCAAAAGAATTATCAAAGAAGAAATCAAGCCCAGGTGAACATAGCTAGCTTACATCGTATCCTCTGGAGAGACTTGTCTATGGGAGAGACCTGCGCGTGCGGGACTGCCTCAGACTATCTATGCTCGGATTACATTTGGACGTGGAACTAGCGGTAATCTTTCAGTTACTGTATATATTTTGTTAGCAGTGCGTTGCTTTTGTACCATTTCATCAGTGGTTGTTGTACAGCATACAACAAGTTGCACTCATGCAAATAAAACTAGATGGCTCCGTGGGATGAGAGCGTAGGGAAAATGAGCAGTGATGGGAATAACGGCGTTACTATTTTTTCAGTAACGAGTAATCTAACTAATTACCTTGACTGTAACTATAACGCCGTTATCATTTCCTACATCCCGTTACTGCGCGTTACTCAAGACGCACAATGACCTTCTCTTTTTACTTCGTGATAGGACTCGTGCACGTGTTGTCATGAGAGAAGGGAGGATGAGAAAACCTCTCAGCAATTATTGGCTGATGTAAAACATATTTCCTTTACAATCTACATGTCTACAGTTGAGAGGATGGCTCATAAATTGTGTTTTTGAAACAAACATGGGTCTTAATCGCGCTCAACCACGGCTTGTATCACCGTGAGGTCAGCCACAGAGGAGCGCATGTGAGCGCAGAAGTCGGCTGCATACAATTCCATCGAAAAGCTCTTTTCTCTTCCTGGTTTATCTGCTACGGGCAGCAACAAGTTTGGCTAACATACATATAACACATTTTAAGATAATTTAAAATGCACTTAGGGTAATTTTTCAATGACTATAGGAATGATAAGAAAGAGAGGTGAAGTGTAAGACGGTTGATTTTAGAAATTGGATGCACCCGGCCGC